ATATCCGCACGGTGTTAGTATAGTGACACCATCTTGACGTCTTATTGGCGCAAGTTATTGGCTCCTATTTTTTCCCTGAAAGTGGTTAATTGCACTCGGCAAAAAAGCTGACATTTTGCAAAGACAAATCTCATGCTTTAATTGCTCAAGGGACAAATGCCACATGTTAAAAGGATAGTTTTAAGACGCATCCGAATTCTTACTATTTTCAAAACAGCACATCTCATTGCGCTGAAAACATCCGAAAAAAATCCATTTTGACACGACACGAATGAATTCGGTTGCCATAGACCATATCGGCGGTTTCCTGGGCTCGTTTTAGCGAAGCATTAACCTAAGTCGCCTTTTCCCGATGACTTGAAAGTCACTTAATGAAAATAAAATAGGGCGAGTTAGGTATCAAACCCGCTTATATCACTTTGCCATTGTGAGGCATTCTTCGCGATATAATTACTGTCTCTGTTGATGCTCTTTTTTGGCAACTGCAAAATACAAGCCGTATTAATTCCTTGATCAAATTTTTAAATTAATGGCCGCAGGAGAAGAAAGGACAAATCGCGATTCAAAAATCTGCGCTACCGTTTCTAATGATTAATTCGCAGTTTACTTTACTAAATTTGAACGTTACAAAAAGAAAACAAACACATCATGTTTTCATTTGTTTATCTTGGCACTCATAATAAATTGTTCATTTCCTTCCTCGTGAATATCATGTAGTTATTCTCCGTATTACTCATAAAACAATTTGATGGCGAACTGACCAAGCATAGTTAACCAAGCTTACCTCCAAGCCAAACGGTGATGCCGAGTGCGTAAACCAGAACTTTCAAGCTGCTCATTACGAATGAAAACAAATTTCCTCCGGCGCTCAAGAAATCTGATCGGAATAATGCGGAAACGATGAAAATATTTCAAACGGAAATTTATTTACTACTTTCCCGCGATAGCCTGCTGTGGCACTTGTAGGTCAGTTCACTGTAAGAGGTTGACTGAGAGCAGCATTGGGATTTGCGGTTTTACGGTTTTGGCTATTTTTTAGATCGGTTTTTTTCAGTTTTTGGTTTTGTTGTTTATTGCGTGTTGCGGATTTTCCGTTTTCAGCATTTGGTTTTCGGTTCTCGTTAAAAATCGTGACGGGCACTCGGATTTGGTATCCGATGTGCTTTTTCGGTTTTTCATATTGGGGTTCCGGTTTCTCTTCGATCTGAGCAACAGTTATAAGCCTCTGCTGATCTCGAATAGCCGCGAAACCTATGTTGCTTCACTTGTAACCACAGTATCAGATCGATTAGGATTTTGACAACTGAGATGTGCAAATCTATCGGTTTGGACAGTTTTTCATGCGCTTTTCGGTTTTGATCGAATTTCTTTTTTTTTTTTTTTTTTCGGTTTCTAATAGACCCCAATGTCTCCCTTTTGACTGATTATTTGGCGACCGGCGATGTCAATGGCAACAAAACACAGCAAGTATCCCTCAGTAGTTGCGCGGGAATATTGTAGATAACCGATTTCGAAATGAACCAGCTCTTGTCCCCACATGACTCTCTTGAGAAAAAT